GATTTTCGTACAATCACAGAAGTTAAGCAACATCGAGCCTCTTCAGTACCGAGATGGGTAACCTCTTCTGAATACGATGTGTTGTAATCTTGGGTGTGTGGCTAGTGTAATGGATAACTTCTTGAAATCGGAAAGTAAAATTAGGCTTACGGACATGTTATGTTGAATACATTTTTTCGTACAATCACAGAAGCTAAGCAACATCGAGCCTGTTCAGTAGCTAGATGGGTAACCTCTTCCGTATATGAGGTGCTGTAAGCTTGCGTAGGTGGCTAGTGTAATGGATAATGGCTCGAAATCGGGACGTAATATTAGGTTTATGGACATATTATGTTGAATACAGTTTTTCGTACAAAGTTAAGCAACATCGAGCCTCTTTAGTACCTATATGGGTAACCTCTTCTGAATACGATGTGCTGTAAGCTTGGGTGTGTGGCTAGGTTTACGGACCTGTTATGTTGAATACATTTTTTCGAACAATCACAGAAGTTAAGCAACATCAACCTCTTTAGTACCTATATGGGTAACCTCTTCTGAATACGATTGATGGGGTAACCTCTGTTATGTTGAATACATTTTTTCGTACAATCACAGAAGTTAAGCAACATCAAGCCTGTTCAGTACGTTGATGGGTAACCTCTTCCGAATAGGAGATGCTGTAAGCTTGTGTATGTGGCTAGTGTAATGGATAACAGCTCGAAATTGGAAATCGGAATGACGTGTTCTAATTCCAATCGGGTTCGTTATATTCAATTACGTGTGGATTTTCTCGGGGATGGTATGAATCTACATCTTCTCCCCATCTGTGGCTTAATTAGTAGGAGTTGTATCATTATATCATTATTATCTTCAAAAGATTCTTACGATCTAAAAATATTTTCTGGCTTTAAATAACTTGCAAATAGTTGGTAAACCTTAAAAAAGTAATCAATTAATGAAAAAGCATTTACAATGATATAGAATTATTGGGGATTTGGTAATACGCTAGATTTTGTGTATTAGCTCAAGTAACCAATCATGCAAGCCATTCACAGGGAATTTGCTTCTCAGGACAAGATTTCAGAATATGACGTTTAGGGAAATGAACTCCGTATAAGCAATATCTAATCTTTAAATATGTTGACAGTTATCGTCGATTATTTGCTTCTGCATGAATTTTTCATAATAACAATATATTCTACATAACCAGTTCCTTATCTGAAGCGAAAATATTGATGTAGATCTATTCGCGACCCACTAGTTGCAAAGTCGTTCAGAACTTTAGACTAAGCCTGAAGTGTTCAGTTTTGCTGCTCGGAAATAGACCCTGCTCACACGCAACTATCAAGCTAATATATTGCATAATAGTGCGGGCCCAAATTTTATGTTCTTTGACTAATACATTGGAACTATTGATCACCTTATCTCAGGATGCTCAATACACAGACCCAATAGGTACAAAAAAAAGTCATGACATTGTAGTCCAAAATCTGTGTTGCAGGATCTGTCATCATTACGGCTTTTAAAAAAACGCTGCAAACTGGTATGAACATCACGCTGAAACTCTTCTTGAGGGAGCAGATTTTAACATCCTCTGGAAATTGTCTATCAACACAAATGAAACAATACAAGTAAATAGCCTAGACATTATTATCAAAAACAGAAAAAGGAAATATTTGGCCCTGATTGACTTGAGCGTAGAAAGTCAGTTCCAGAAGGACAAATTATTGTTCACGTCGCCTCCTAGGAAGACGGCTTGGCTATGGGTTCACCGTTGTCACCAGTGATGGCGAATATATAAATGAAATACTTCGAGAAAATGGTTTTAGGTATAGCACAACTAAAATCAACTATGTAACTGAGATAAGTAGATGACGTCTTCATACTCTGGCAGCACCAGGAAGTGTACAAATCCTGTTGGACCACGTGAACTCAATAAGAGTTGAAAGGGAAATCGGGCATAGTTGATCATGTATATCGAAGGAAGGGATAGTCATCAGCCCCTGTGGAATAAAGTGAAAATACTGCACAAGGTAGATTAATAATAAGAATTTTTTATACAGCTCAACATGAAAAAGAAAATAATAATCAGTTAGCCTTCCTGGATGCAGTAATAAGATGAGAGGGAAATCGGGCATGGCTGATCATGTATGTCGAAGGAAAGGGGTAGTCATCAGCCCCTGTGAAATAAAGTGAAAATACTACACAAGGTAGATTAATAATAAGACTTTTTATACAGCTCAACATGGAAAAGAAAATAATCAGTTAGCCTTCCTGGATGCAGTAATAACACGGACAAAGAATAGTTTCAAATATTATTATGTCACAAGCCAAATTTCACTGGCGAGTACCTCAACTTCAATTACAAGCATCCATACATTGTCAAGAAAAAGATCATTCAATACCTATAACACCGAGCAAAAATCATGTGTAGACCCAAACACATACTATCAAGAAATGATCAGCATCAAACGTACCTTTCAGAATAACAGCTAACTGGCAAATATAACATCAGCGTCTATGGATGGGAACAGAAGAAACAAGGAGGATGACCAGAAATTTTCCAGACTCTGGCTAACTTATGTCAAGGGGTTACCAGAAAAGGTTCAGAAGATCTGCAGTCCATAAAACACCAGGACAAATATTCAGATGGAGATCCACTCTACGGAGAAATCACTGCCGAGTAAAGCTTAACACGGGGTAGAACATGACCAAGAATTATTTGTATTCACTTCCTTGCAGTTGTTGCGAAGTATATAAAGGTGAAACAAACCGACCCCTAATAAGAGTGTTGGAGGAGCATCGAAAATACGTAATGAGAGGGAAATCGGGCATGGCTGATCATGTATGTGGAATAAAGTGAAAATACTGCACAAGGTAGATTAACAAAGAGATAAAGCATAGGTGGGTTCGACGTCTGATGACTTCCTTAGTAGGCCTAGCACATAAATGAAATAATATGAGAGGTGTTAATAAAGAAAAAAAATACATATGACAGCAGATTTCAATCGCAGAAGCAGATGCAGCAGGAGATGACGCAGCAGCAGATGCAGCAGCAGGAATCAAAATATGGGCAGCAGCAGGAGTCAAAACATGACATACAGCAACAACTGCAGCAGTTGCATCTCTAACAAGCAGGTAGGTTAAATTTAAGGCTCCACGTTCCCTACAGAAGTGTGTTCTACAATAGCCTAGTGAATTAAATCGTTGTTTTGTGAATGTGATGACGAAGTCATTATCAGTTCAATCCCAGGATCGGGCAGTGTGTAGTTGCATTCATTGGAAACGGAAGGGCAATAGTCATTCAGTTATGTGTCATGCGTGATACACGGTTAGACGATCATGTATCTTACGATACATGACTGACGAGACAGAATTTTTCCCGCATTAGGTTGTCACTTCTTTCTGCAGTAGACCAAGAGCCATCCAAGGCTATTGGACTCAACCTGTCCTACTATTTACCCATAGCTGGGAGGAGAAGAAGAGGATTCATACCTCTCCAAGGGTATCAGAAAATAAGTGAATGCACTGGATTTGATTGTGTACAGTAATAATATAACCTGGTAGATTTTTACCTTTTTCTTATCACGTCACACTGTACTAATTTCAAAAGTAATACCATTCAAATATACGATTAGTATACTTAAATAGAATTTAATAATGAGTGATTATTTCAACGCATATATCTACAGCCTTGTGCAAATTAATTGAAACAACAGCATTAGTTTCCTTTCTTTCACCATACGGACAGATTAGACCCCCTAGAGTGAACAATATGTTATCGATTTCTATTTTTCTTCAGATTAGGATATTTGCATTGGCGTGCAGTAATATGAATCTATTTTGGGGGTGTATGATTAAATTTGTTTAACCTTGAAAAATATTGCGTCATCCGTGATTGCATCAGATTGTTATCACACGCAGACACTATTGTCTCGATTGTCATTTAGCTGTCTTACAGATTTGTCTGTGTAGAACGTGATTTTAAGGAAGCATACGAAAATTGTAACGCTGCCCGACCACACTGGCAAGCCTTACCAGTGAGCAAATCAAAGTACTATAGACTGTCCCGAAAACTCTCCTGGTTTAAATCGAATCGAGAATCTGTGGTCGATCTGCAAGGAACGACTTCGTGCAGTGGACCTAGGAAGTACTAACATGTGCGCTGGATTATGTTTCATTCAAGCAATAGGAAAATGTAAGTAATAACGGAATTATTCGTTTTGTTTCAGTTAATTTTCACAAGGGTGTATATCCTGATCTTCGGAAAATCGATCAATGATTGCGACTGATCCGTCAGCACCCAGCTGCTTGTTTATAATAACTGTTTCTGCGCAGGAAGCATATTGATTGTAATTCATAAAAAATGACTTTTCTTTTAAGAACTGTTTTTTGGAAAATAAGAAACTCAAGTGCAGTAACTGTTATTGATCTTTGTTGTTGTGATGGGGATTTTTTTTGTGGATTCCGAGATGAAATTCGGTCTCCAATGAATGACAAACGCAAGAAATAAAGATAAGAAATTAAACGTGTTTACACCATAATACAATGGGTATATTGTTAGCAAATCCAAGAACGCGGTTAGTCGTAATAATATATATATATATATATATATATATATATATAGTCTCGAAGTAGGACTTCCTTAGAGTCTACGTGTGTGTGTGTGTGTGTGTGTGTGTGATGCGGCATTCATCCTGGGCGGATTGGGCCGGCTTCTTCCTGTTGTGAGAAGAAGATTCTTGGGATAAATTACAGAATTAGGGTACCCAGGCTTACTCGGATAACGTTCTTGCTTGCCGCGGGGTTCCCACAGACGGAGAGACAGGAACGACCAGAAGCCGCCGGTTACCGATGCAGACGCTCCTTGGATTTTCACCAGAGCCCTTGTTAGCCGGCGTGTGTGTCAGACCTGTCCGCCTTGGGTGGCCCTACCAGGAACGAAGTTCCGGGTTGCATAGCTCTGACACTACCGTTTACACCCCCCAACCGACTGTGAGGTAAGGGTTGGACTTTGGGGGCTTACAGTACCAGGTGTTCCCAAGCGGTCCCCCATCTAAGTACTGACCTGGCTCTACGATGCTTAACTTCGGTGATCGAACGAGAACCGGTGTTTTCAGCGTGAGTAACTGACTTCTACCTTACCTCACACTATTACTCTACCACCAACTCACTCACAATCTCTGCTCACGCTCTCAATATCTCTCAATCTCAATCTCCCTCGATCCTCTGACTGACTGTGGGTAATTAACGGCAGCAGTCCAAGTAACACTTTGGTCGAGTCCACTTATATCAAAAAAGAGGTGGACTCCATAACACCTTTCCTAACTTTTTGTTTAAAGTACCGTGGAAATTTAACATCTTGTTTATGAGATGTGCACTTCAAATTACATAACCTATGCATTTCAGTTTTTGTTTCCTTTGTGCGTCTTCAAGCGATGTAATATCTCTTATTTATGATTATGTAGCGCCAGTCCATAGGTGTTGAAGAACGATCGTCCTCACTAAGATGTTCAGGCTTCATTCACTAGAAGCCATTTTTTCGTCATTGTTCTGGGTAAGCGCTTGTATACAGCTGAGATGCCAAATATTTCTGGACGACTCATTATGCAAGCATGTCATCCATATGAGAGCCAACATCTGCCGAGGCATTTTTATGAACACGATTGTATCATATCGGCGTGTTCGTCAAAAGTGGCCCGAGCTCAGTTCAATTTCTTTATCACTAATACTAAATTTGCTACAACCGATACATACAAGTATTTGACATTTTTAACAGTTTTTAATTCCTCATTTTCTTTTTTACTATCAGCTATACCTTGCTGGTCGATCCGAAAAAGCGTTCAATTAGAATGGAGCAAAAACATCATCATATTTAGATGTAGCAGAGTCTATCTTCTTAAATTACATTAAAGTACTTAAATGAAAAAAAAAAAACGTTGAATTAATGCAGGTAGTGATATAACAGAAGTAGTCTGTATTCATTCAATCGAACTTAGCCGAGTATATGAAGGATTAAAACAGGCAACATGTAGACCCACTTCAAGCCACAATTATTTTGGAGCTTTTGAAATTCAATTTGTCAGTGTGCTACCAGGGATGTAAAAGATGTATAAAGTAACTTTTAAGTTTGATGAAAATTGGTTGAAAGATCAACGAAAAATAAAGAAACCAGTAGAAATCGCCATTTTTCGTTATTTACGCGGGTTTTCCCTATATGAGTGGACTCAATTATCAAGTTAAATGACTGTTAAAAAATCAGCTTATTGTTGGCGACAATTGAGTGAAGTTTGTATTAGATTGCTTCAATACTGAGGGTGTTTTTAGTTTAAAATTTGTGTTGAAATCGATTTGTGATGAAATCTGTTTTTTCGTTTTTCACGGTTTTTCGTTAAACCCAGTTGCGTAGAAATAAAGATTAGGCATCGTTGAGCTTGGCGTGATGCAAGTAACCTACATACCCAGTTTGAACGAAATCAGAAGAAAAAAAATGAATTTATCGATTTTGGATCGGCTTTATCGATTATTGATTTTTAAAAAATTATCGATTTTTATGCTAAGACCCTACGTAATACATTGTACAATGTATTTTCCATGTTTGGTCAAAATTGGTTGGATGGATCTCGAGTGAATACGTATCACACAGGCAGACAGACAAACAGACACACCGACATCCTCTGTTTTATATATATTGATTAAAGTTAATTAATTATAAAATATCAAATTAAAGTTAATTAATTATGATTAACAGTGTTTATTTTTTCTTTCATTTTTTTTTTTTTTTTTTGCAAATTTAGTAAAATGTTTTGTGGGGTAAATATTTAACCTCTCAATGTCTGTTTGAAAAAGTATGTCTTCAACCTTACGTCTGGGATGACTTCTTAAAGAATGTTAATCTTTTGTTAAAATTCATTCTTATTCCAACATTTTTTCTTATTTATGCGCCGTGTTTTTTTCAGTACGTAGGCGATCATGGCTCTCCACAACTTCCTGTCCTTTGTAGCTCTTAATAAATTCTTTCTGTTTGCTATTTCTCCTAAACCTCGATCCGCTATCCATTTACTCAAGCTCACTAAGTAGGTTATGCGTTTTTCCTCTGTTCTTACTTTCCATCTATTCTGTGAGTAGCATTTTTCCAGACCCTATTTCCTCATTATGTGCTGTAGGAATTTCAACTATCTCTTTCTGATAAGTTTCCTTTTGATATTTATATGCTATAAAAGTTCATCGTTGCTCTGTTCATCCATCCATCTGTAGAAACATCCAGCATCCTTCTATAGAAACAGATGTCCAGCATCCGTTCTTAGAAACATCCAGAATCTTTCTGTAGAAAAACATGTCCAGCATCCTTCTGTAGAAATATCCAGAATCCTTCTGTAGAAACAGTGTCCAGAATCTATTCTTAGAAACCATCCAGAATCCTTCTGTAGAAACACATGGCCAGCATCCTTCTGTAGAAAGATCCAGCAATCTTCCGTAGAAACACATGCCCAGCATCCTTCTGTAGAAAGATCCAACATACTTCTGTAGAAACACATGCCCAGCATCCTTCTGTAGAAACATCCAACATCCTTCTGTAGAAATATCCAGCATCCTTCTGTAGAAACACTATCCAGAATCCTTCTGTAGAAACACTGTCCAGAATCCTTCTGTAGAACGCATTTCTGTTGCTTCAGGGGTCTTTATCTTAGAAGGAATTGTTCAGCATTCACTGCCATATACGAGAACAGATATCAAGCAGTTCAGTGCTCTTTGTTTTTTAACTATTTTTTCTGTTTCTTTGCTTAGCCTTTAGAATGCAGCTTTAGCTTTGCTAATGTTCTTTCGGATCAGTGTTGCACTTTCCGTACCCAGATATTTAAATTTTTGTCATCGTTTCATTTTCGTATCTCCAATTTGCAATATACCTCTTGGGCTGTCGCTTTTTGCTGACAACCATGCATTTTGTAGTAGTTTTTTAATGCTTTCTTCTTTCTTAACTCGGCGACCCAAAAAGGGCCAGAATGGCGTGTATGTTTTGCAATGGACTGTGGAGACGGAGAATTGGCGAGATTCGCTCTGAAGATGAATTGGGCAGCATTTTGTGTGGGCGGAAATGTTAGTCTCGCTTTATAGTCATTATCATTGACTGGTTCTGGGCGCTCATTGAATGAGCGATGGCTGGGTCAGGTACATAAAAGCACGGTACGCTCATCCATGAAAAAAAAAGCTCGTTTCTGACGAAGAGTTGCGTACTTGATATTGAGGAACGGAAATAATTGATTTCCCTATTAGACCTATTGGACGTATATATATATATATATATATATATATATATATATATATATTATTTCTAAGTACTTCCGACGAATTTTCTCACAGATCCTGTTATTTTATTGTTCTCTCTCTTGTAGTGGAGACTTACCTCGTAAGTCGTTACTCGTAGCAGAGATTTACCCAAAAGTGCCAGAGTCGCGTGTATGTTTTGCAATGGAGTGTGGAGACGGCGAATTGACGAGATTGAAGGTGAATCGGGCAGCACTTCGTGTGGGAAGAAGTGGTGGTGTCACTTGTAGCCATTATCATTGACTGGTTCTGGGCGCACATTGGCTGGGCGATGGCGGGGACAGGCGCATAAAAGCACGGTACACTTACTCACGAAAAGAAAAGCTCTTTTCTGACGAAGTGTTTCGTACTTGAGATTGAGGAACGGAAATAATTGATTTCCCTATTAGACCTATTGGACGTGTATATATTTTTATTTGTGTGTGCTTCCGACCAATTGTCACAAATATTCCGTAGGAGTTTTTTTTTCTTCATTTTCCTTCTATGGCTGCTATCAACAATGTGTTAACTGTATAAAGGAGTTCCTAATTTATCAGTATAATCCCACTCACCATCGGTGCACTGTTCTCAGGAGGGAAAACAGAAACGCTGTTTTCTCTTAAAAGATGTGGTATTTAATGCTTGACACGTGCACAGTACAGTCTAGGAAGAGAGTAAATGACGTCAGGCTTTTATTTCCTCCTTTTCGTATTTCCCGTCAGGCTTGAAATGATTCCGTTTTAGCCCTTTGTATACGATTTTGTGAACATATTTCCTAATACCTGGGTTTTGTTAACAGATTTTTTTACATTTCACATCTAAAAAAATGGACATTATCTTAAAGAAATATTCGTTAAGCATTCGTTAATTTCTAAAAGTTATTTCACCCCCAAGCAAGGCGATAATGCCACTAAGACGTAAAAGGTTATTGGGAGTGAAAGAGATTGAGACGTTAGTGCGGTGAAAGGACAATAAAAGAACAGTTTCAGGAAGTAAGAAAATGGCGATAGACTTAGGTTTCGTTTGCTTTGGTTTGTTTTACGGCATATCAATCTCAATAGGTTATTTAATGCCGACAAAAATTTTTATTGTTGGTAATATGTTTTTTAAAAAAATCTATTTCTGGTAATATTTTTCCTTCAAATATGTATTGCTGTTAACATGTTTCAAAAAATGTATAGCTGGCAGTATTTAATATATATATATATATAATAATTTTTCTTCAAAAATATATTTCTGGTAATAATTTTTTTCTTCAGAAATTTATTGCTGGTAATAATTTCTTTTACAAAGTATTTCTGGTATTAAAACCTATTTTACGCTTTCGTAATGTTTTGACCCCAGTTTAGGGGTTAACTATTTACCCATAGCTAGGACCCTAACAGGTGCTACCACACCGGTACCGGGTGAACCTTGGAACACCAGCAATTAAGAGGTGGTTCCACGCTCTTAAAAAACCTTTTGATCAGAGGCCTTGGTGTTCCCGTCTTACCCAGGACGCGGAAGTAGTTTACCGTCATATCCAGGACGTGCAATAGACGTAGGAGACACAAAAAACAAGAAGCAGAGTGATAATTTCACAAGCGGGAAGTGAGAGAAAATACTATAAAAATAATAATTACTGTTAACTCTAGCTATTTGAACCTAGTAGCAAATCCAGTGGTATATTTAAATTCATGTGGTCGAGCTATCAAGCTGGTGCGCTTATTAGAATAATTGACACGAAAATATTTAGGGAAAAGGCACAAGTAATGCATGTTAAGGCGTTGGAAATTGACTGAAGCTGAGATGAGATGTCATATCAGGAAAAAAAAATTA